AAAATTCAGCTGACCTGGATATTTTGAGAATCAGTAACAACACTTAATATCAGATGCATCCAGAGAGCAACTACCTAACTGCTGTCTTTGCTAGTTTAACTGTAATATCAGAACTCACTAATGTTGACAACTTTCCTAGTTTATTTGCCTACTCTTGACATTTGGTGTCCTATTTCTTAGCATGCCCTTCTTTCTTAGTTCATCCATGTTAGTTTTTTCCCCTCAAACTATTGTAGTCTTATTTTATAAATATGCCACTCCAGGAAAGAATCAGACTAGACATGTCCCTGTTTGGCATGTTCTTTCCTTTATCCCGGCAATGTTTTGTTACCTCTACAATTCAAGTAGACCTGTTCAAAGCTTTCCATATTTGAAAGGGATTTCTTATATGTACCAAAATAAAAACTAACTGCAAAAAAGAAGCTGATGGGCTGCAAATATTAGAGACAGATTAAGATCCTGCTTCTCCCTCCAACTTCATGGATACTCTGAGGTGGGTAAGGTCTTTTGGTTCAAGACCACCTCTAAATGGGATACAGCTGGTCTCCTCCTGTTTAACCTATATAAACAGCCAGGTTACCTTAAAACTGACAGGTGACCTGTCATATGCAAGTTCTTGCTTAAACACTTACCCCTTCTATAAGTAGTTAGCATAGTACAGCCTCTTTCTCTTAGTTTCCAAGCAGGAATCAGACATGCCTCCTGAGAACTTTACTCCCCAAAGCACTGGCAGAGCCAACACTATTAGGATGGAAGAGGAGCAGGGGGTGAGCAAAGAACAGCTAAGTTAGCATTCCCCCAATTTCAGGCTACTTACCTAAGGTAGCTCTGTCTCACACATGAAATCTCTATACTGATCAATCATATTTAGTGTCAAAAAGGAATTTTTGCAAACAGTGCTGTAGCAATGAAGTTTGGTGTCCAAGGCAAAATCCGCAGTGGAAGCATGCTCTGTCCCATGCCCCACCCCACTTGGGCAGCGCCTATTGGTACCCGTTCACCTAGGCACCCAGGGCGGTCATCTTGCTTGCCCCCCCTCCCCCCTTGCTACGGCACTTTTGCAAATATCAATTTACCTTTCTAAAGAAATATCTTCAGCAATTCTATCACAGTTGCTTTCTGTGAGTATTGCAGCATATACATTTTGCCATCCCAAAACTTTGAGAGAAAAATTTCAAGGTCCATAAATTTTTGCAGAACTCAAATTTTATATTTTTACATGTGCAAGTATTTGCACCAATAATGCTTGTATGCTGCTCCTATCATGCAAGAAAAACACCCTCCCTTATCTTAGCAGTATAACTTAAATGGTGGACACCAGCAATTTGCAGACAACTGTTCTCAAATCAAGCCACAAAGTTAGAGCTAACCTGCAAACAAGCAAAAAAGTTTAAGAAAAAGAGGAAGGCTCATTACAAAAAAAAATCTCATTATAAATTGGCTGTTTAATTTCAAACATATTAGCTGGCCAGGTAGCAGAGCTTATAGAAGTATCTGCACTGAAACATTAAACCTGAGTAGAGATGTCTATTCACCATTTTTAGAAAAAGCTGCGCTGAAATGTGTCTTCTGACTGCTGTACATATGCCTGAAACTAAATGTTTAGCTGCATTTGAAAAGTTTACTTTATCATCCATAAGTAAAAGTTATGCATTTTTTACAATACTTTCTCTAAGGTTTGTTTTGGAAAGGTTTGAAAAAAAATACTAATTTTTTTTTTAATGAAAAGCTCAGAATAGATTAACACTTATCTTGGAAAAAATGCCATTTAAATCAAAAGTATTTTGAACCCCAAAAAATGGATAAAAGAAAAATAAATATTACTCAATAGTAAATTTAACAAGTATCCCATCTCATAGCCAGGTAGCTCTTTGTCTTCCTGTAATGGATACATGTGTATAGTTCTTTACTGAGCTTGCTATGGCCTTTTAGGTAATGGACACTTGGTCCTTAGCTCAAGCAGTAGATGCCAATGTTTTTATACACAAAGTTCCTCCGCAGATAGATCAACAAATGGTGCCATTGCATATCTTAGGATGTTACTTCATTCACATTCATCCTCCATAAGTCCAAGCACTTGTTTTGAAGTTATTAACAAGTCAATTAGGAATGTACAAAAAAAACTCACCCCACCTCACTCCTATTAGCAGAGAGGGCACAACAGATGACCCTAGAAATATTAGAAGGAAGCTGCTGTTGCCAACTGGCTAGCAGTGAGGGAGAAAGAATGAAATCTGCAAGAAGCCTGTCCAAACACAAATATAACAACTTCTTAGAGCCCAACGCCTTTTCTATCAGCTGAATGTTACCTCACTGTGCTCAATCAGCCATGGTATAGATATACTTGCTCTGTTCACCTGCCACACCCTTTGGGTCACATCACCTACTTTCCTCAATACATTAAAATGTACCATTAACAGAAGCTAGGCTGAATAATAGATAAGCCAGTGTCTCTTGGGATGAATGTATTATGAATACAGTACCAGTAGTGTTTGGCAGTTGCTCCATATGTAGCTTTACAAGTGTAAAGTTCAGCACTAGAATATAAAATAATGTAACAAGACAAAATAGTTCAGCAGTTTTTCATGTCAAACCTTTTTATCTGGGTACTAGGTATGGTATGGCCGTGTAGACCTCGTCCTTATGCAGTATTGCCAACAAGTTAAATTACATGTGCATAATACCATAGATTTGTCACTTAAAAATATGCAAGGTGTCAGACTGGATTCAAAGACATCAATTCATTAGATCAATGGGAAGAATCATTGAAAATCAGCTGATATAATTCCCTGCAGAAGACTATCATGCTAATGACTACTTGAATCCACTGACATGAACAAACAGAGGCAAAACCACTTACCATAAACTAGAGGAAGGCCTGAACTACACAACAAAGTTCTGTCAGCAGTATTCCCCTTCTGGCACCACTCGTGTATAAACGAATGTTAACCAATGTGATGTAATATAGGAACTCACTTTCTCTAACACAAGTCCTCATCTGACATACTATCACTAGCAACATGCCATTATGGACATGTCCTTGTGACATAAAAATGATGGCAATGATATGCCAACAGGCGTTCTGCTAAGAAAATGTGCATTTCCTCCAGGTAGATCTAAGTTCAGAAAAGAACCAGTGCAACCCAAGTGACGAAGGAAAGTTTAAAAGAGAGATGCAGTTTCTATTCCAAGATGTAAGTGATAAAAAGATATCCTCTCAAACAATTAAGATTCATAAAAGACCTTCACCTCAAAATGTGATGAAAAAACTATTTCTGACTCCGGAAGGAAAAAGAGAGGGAGATGAGAGAAATGGCATTGTAACAACCTACTATCTGCCATTAGATAGTAGATAGCAATCTGCTATCTGGGTTGGTCCCTGCTAACCCAAGTGCTCTCAAAGAGGCCTGGGAATCAGATCCTCAGCACAGCCAGAACCCTGTCCTAGGCAGAACCCCTGACACGTGCACACGCATGCCTTCGGGCTCAGTCTTCGATTTTTTTATAATACTTCAGCAAGATTTTTGTAGCTTGCCAAAACAATGAAGTGTCACTGAATTTAATTCAGTGCCCATGGCCTGTCAGACCAGCACACTTGCCATAAGAAAGACAGTATCATGTGTTCATTTGCATGTTTTTTTAACTGTGCCTCTTTAAACAGTTGCTTTGGGCAGAGCTGTAGATGTCCAACTTGCCAAGCACAATTATAGCATCACAAGATGACACTTACCTGAGCAAAGGCAAGACTTGAGTTTGATAGTGGATTTAGTTCTCTAACAGAAAGGGCTCTGCACTATATTTTCAGGTGGGATACACCTAATGACTGTTCATGCCGAGAGTATACCCCAGGAAGAAGTGGAAGCAGGAAGGCAGGGTCTATTAGAGAGCACACCCATGACAGTGCAAGTGTTCACGTTTCTCTAGCATCCATAGGTGCCAGATGGGACAGAGTGAGATGAAGCCTTGTATGTTAGACAGGGAAGGTTTTTTCCTCTTTCACTGTTCCTCAACTTGGCAGTAATTCATGGTTTAAGATTTAATTCTGGCAGATGTGTTGGCAGAATTTAGCAGGACTGCTTGTTAAGGCAGTTCACCAGTGTACAACGTATCTAGGGAAACCAGAGTCCTCCATGGGCAAAAGGCAACAATGACCCATGTCAGAGCATGGAACTGTCCATGTTAAAAGACCACTGGATACCATAGCTCAATTTCCCTCCAGCTTTCCTTTACCACTCACTGAAATTAAATTCTGAAACATGTTAATAACACTACTGTTATTGCTGAAGGCTATATGTGCAGCAGCCTGCTGATGTCTGGGCTGGCCTCTTTTGGACATTTTCATTAACAGCATGGCCAAATTTAGAGAGAGGGCCTAGTTCAACAGTGTGTTATACCAAGAGAAATCCACTGAAATCAACTTGCATAAAAGGTGGAGAAAACCACCCAGAGAATCCAGCTCTCAGAACTGAAGACTGGTAAAATCTTAATGAACCATACTGATTGTACTAAAATCAAGGGACTTGTGAGATGGACAGGGAGTTGACTATTTCCAATAACTTCCAACACAAGTCTGAGAGTTGAATCCTCCAATATCACAAGGCAAATATACCTATTTAGTGATTCTAATGGAATTATTCACATACCTAAAAGTATATATACGTTTAAGAGTTTTGCTAAACTGAGTCTCCGCAAACAATCAGTTCTTTTAAATATCAGCACTCAGTAGATCTAGGGTATTTGACAGGAAAATACCTCTCTAATCGTTAACAGGAATCATGAACTTTCACCTTTTGGTGCAATTCACTCTGCAATTTTCAAGTCAGACTACACAGAAAGGTGCTTGCTTAGTAAAACTCTGTAGCCAAACAGACTAATAAGTTAGGACTCGGAAACAGTTTGGCTCAGTTTAATGTTTCTAAGTAAGCAATGTTATCTGCAGCAAGATATTTATCTGCATACCAGCCACACATACAAAAGTGGGAGAGTTTGGTTATTATTACCTTGATACTTAGCAGTCTGGTACCAGTTCTTGATAAATTCCAGCAAGGAGCATTAGCTTTGCACAATCCAGGTCTGTTTTTCAAAGTCTTCACCATTTTGCAAGTTGTCAAAATTCTTGTCATCTTGAGGATGTTGACTGGTAACCACAGAAAAATGTAGAGATATCTACCTCCAACTTATAATCTTCTTAAGTCTTTGACACAGGCAGTCACAGATGTTTGCAAACTCCTGTGAAAGAAAACAGAAGAGCAACTAGAATAGCAAAGCACTCCCTTGCTTTCCCATTCATTCCGCCATTAAAAGACTTCAGGGAAGCTCCACCTTCTCCAAGGTGGGAGGGAGAAATGCTTGCAACACTTTTACGGAAATGGCCAATAAGCATATCACATGAATTACATCATATACCAAATACCAGCTCTGCCTATTGGATGAGAGCAAGAGCTGCAGGTACCAATCAGAGAAACTGTTCATACAATGCATTAAACAGAGCTCAAGCACACTAAAATAATATTCCAGAGTATTGCCTAACACACAGAGTAGAGTAGGAGCAACAGCTTTTATTCTCTCAACTGCTTCAGAGTCTAGAAGAGAGCAGAGAGATTTTCTATGCACGTTAGAATTGCCAAAACTTGTTCTGTGATTTTGAGTGTGCATTACAAATTATCTTTCCTCAAAAGAAATAATTTCTGTGGTTTCATAGGAATGAAAGTAAGAAAAGGGGAAGAATAAGCTCTTTAGGACATGAACGCGTATAAATTTATACCAAGGTCCAATATTTGACACTACTTGGTAATATTTAGAGTACGTATTGTACAAATTAGATGCTCTAATTTGTACAATACATACATTCGTACAAAAAAAAATAGTCTCATTCCATATTTCATTTTCTTCCCAGAGAACTACTGTAGGCCAAATCCTCATCTGGTGTAAATTGGTGCTGCACCATTAACTACATGAGTGATGCAGTCACAGAGGGGTTAAAGCACCTTGTTACAACTCCAGTTCATGACATGAGATTCATGTCAGAACCCCCAAGTGATCCAGCTGTAAATGGATATTGGTCATTCAGGCTAGAAAATCAAAGTCAATTGAATGTGATCTTAGTCACATTACCCCATTGTGTGCCAATGGAGTGCTTTAAAAACATTACCCTGATCAGCAGTTGGGTTTGGTGAACAGAGCTTCGTTCCATTGGCAACACTTATGGTAATTATGCCAGCTAAGGTGCAATATAATTTATTTTAGTTATTAAATCGACTTGTAAAGTCTATTAACAAGTCCAGAGTTAAAGAGATTACTCCTCAAATATCAAAACCACTTCCTTCTTCAAAGCCTCTGTAACAGCATGAGACAAAACGAATGACCCCTGCAACAACAGGAAACAATTCCTAAACTTTTGTTTCTCTCTCGAACCCTTCTATCTCAAAGATAGACTATGAATTGTTGACTTCCAACAGCCAGCAAATATATCAGGTATTCCAAAAAGAGACCTCAATTTAATAAAACCTTTAAAGCACATGGTTAAGACTGTCCCTGTTCAGAACAGCACTTAAATGTGTGCTTGACTTCAAATATCTGCTTAAGTGCTCCCCTGAATAAACATCTTGTCCTGAATAAAGACTAGGATAAGAAATACCAAATAATTGAAAGAAATAATTCAACTGCACAAGCCTGGCAAAATGAAGCAAACTGATGGTTTGTATCTAGCAGGAAACCCTCACTGCTGGAGCTCAAACTTTCCTTAAAGCATGCTTTTTTTTTTTCCTGTCAGTATGCTTTCTTATATCTCATCATCCCTCCTGCATGTCAGGGTAAATTCATTCAGGGGCTCAAGGATAGCAAAGAAGCATAGCACTACCAAGCCAGAATATCAATCAGATGGTAACATCTGAAATATTGACAAAAAACAAATATGAAGATGGTAACTTCTTTCACCATCACAATCTTGAAAAAATTTAGCAGTTCTGGTGGAAAGGCTGTGTTTTGTTTCATATTAGTTTATACTATGTCCTGCCTAGTTATGGAGTAGAAGGAAGATGTAGAAATTCATATTAGATGTAGGTGTTTACATTCTTTTAAATGAAGAAACACACTTATCAGACAGTTACTCTACAACGTAAAAATAACTATGGTCAATAGTCAAGAGTGTTATAAAACCTTTTGCCCAAGATTTTTAAATGAATAAGGATTTTCGGTGCTTCCATTTTTGGATGCCTCAATTCAGAACACCAAAATGGAAACATCTAAAAACCCTAGCCATATGTGAAAATCTTAGTTGTGATCAATTATTAATTCAATTAAAATAAAGTTACAGCAGAACTTTTAAGGAGAGGCAGAAGGAGGGGTGATACTGTTCCCACTGAGGTCAAATGAGACCAATTCATCCTGAACAAAGAGTTGTGTTTGGGGGTGGAGGGGCTGTTAAAGCAAACTTGCTATGCATAGAGTTTATGCACAACTTCATTCAGCAAGAGCATGAAAACTCCAGGAAATTTGCATTCAAGAAGGAAAAATAAAGTTTCATTATAGCAGAGCTTGCAGTAGAGGCTTCTAATCCCACAGAAAGCCTAGGAAATCCAGTTTTTTGTCCCATGTGGGGACAATATTCATATCTATACAGCCAACTAGATCCAGTGCAGCTCTTCTGTAGTCAGTATGGCCTAGAAACGGAAGGAGCAGCTACTTGTTTCATGTATGTTAAGCTTCCAATAATCCTCCTCTGTTCCATCTTTAATACCTGCCTCACTGCTGGCGCACTTGGAGCTGCCAGGCACCTTCATCCCTGTTATCTTGGGGCCCCCAGTGAAGGAAGATGTTGAAAAACATGCTTAACTTCAAGCACACTAAGTGTTTTTACTGGATCAGAGAACATTGTGTCCAGTACCTTGCCTGTAGGACCACTCCCAGAAGAGGAGTCCCATGAAGGTCTCATGGCATACTGGGCTCTGCATGGACCATCCACCAGGGGGTGACCTTCTGAAACAAGAACATTTAAAAAAAATGGTCAGATACTTTGTGCAACAGTTGTCAGCTCAACCTTTCTACCTTCCAGTAACACTCAATATAACCGTGCAAACACCTTGGGGAACAGGGGGGAGAGTGTTGAACAGTGTGCAAACAAGCCAATGAAATTAAGCAAGGCTCTGAATGTGACCAGGAATCATGAGGAGGGGTTATCTGAAGTCAATCAATGGGTCATCTGCTGATGTGGGGGGAACTATAGCCATCCTAAATTAAACACATTTCTTTGGAGAAAAAAAATACCCACTGCAAATAGGATATTTTGCAATTCTCTTTGTAGTGGCTGACCAGGTGCTTAGGGACAGCGGATCAAACAGGTCATGCTGAGGGTCATGGTGGAAAATCTGGATTGTAAAACTGGACTGAACCACCCTATTTTATTTCACTCATGCACACCCCCAGGATGCTTGATGTTGAAATGTCTTCTGATTTTACAACTACAAGTTTTGCTTCCATGCACAATGTGCCCATTAAGGAAGACACAGCTTTTTTGCTTCATGGCTAGTATCAGGACAGTGGGTAAAAAAAATGCATTCCTAAGATCAGAGACTCATTGTGCTAGGACCCCCTCCAGAATGAACCTGTGGCTGCAGCCAACATATGGCAGTCTTGGCTGTATATGTGAGTCCAGAACAGAGGCCAGAAATGTAGCTACAGCAGGTCTGTGAACGTGCTGTGATCTGTGCCCTTCATGGACAGAATATCACCTGGTTTAGAGGGCCAACCCACAGTGCACATCCAATAAAAGGATTCAGCAAAAATTCTCTAGTCCAATCTAATGAACTTCCTTGTCCCCTCTGAGGGGAGAATTTAGCTATACATGACTTATGGGGAGTAAATAGAAAAGTAACTAAAATGGAGACAGGGTTGAAAGAAATCTACAGATTTCTGGATTTTACATAACTGCCACAGCTCTCCTGGCCCATGTCACAAAGGGAAAAAAGATACATTATTTTAACTATGGCTATTATAGCAATATTCTCATTATTTTCACCTGATATTAAAATTATACAACTGCCTCTGCAGGTTTAATGGCAGAGCTATCTAGACATCCATCTCAGCTCTTACAGTTATTGCAGCAAAATGACTGTCATTTCAAGTTCTTCTCAAAATTACATTACAAAACCAATTCTTATTTACAGAGGAAAGAAGAAAAGAAAAAGAAAAGAAAAGAAAATCAAGAGAATTTCTGGACATACTGGTCCAAATTCACATCTCGGTGTGTGCACCTCCACCATGCATTAATGCACCATTGTTACTGTGCAGTAAGTTTAGTACCTGCAATAACAGGTGCTAATTCAGTGCACAATAACTGGCGCTACTGCGCAGTAGTGCTGGAGCATGGTCTTTTAGTGACACTAATGTGCAGTAGACTAATTCGGCTGTGCATTAGCACAGCTTTTGCCATGGCATACTAATGCACAGGGGAATTAGTCTACTGAGGATTTAATGTCTCGTGTAGACGTGCCCAGTTACATCAGGATAAAGCCAGAGTAACTCTTTTGAGATCCACAGTAGAAAACAGGTGTGAGATAGAGCAACTGAAAAGACCAAGTCAATTGAAACATTATGGATTTACACTAGTGTAACAGGATATGAGACACTTAATGCGCAGTATACTAATTCTACTGCACATTAGTACATCATGGCAAAGGCCATGCTAATGCACAGTAGAATTAGCCTACTGCACATTAAACATCACAAAATGACTGTGAGCTGTTGCTAATGTGCAGTAGCATCAGCTACTGTGCATTTAATTAGTACCTTATATTAGAGGTACTAAACTTAATGCACAGTAGCAACAGCACATTAATGCATGTGTAGATGTGCCCACAAACTACAGGGGGAGATTTTTTAAAATACCTAAAGGATTTAAGAGCACAAGTGACCTGAACAACACAGGACTTGTAATTCTGTAGTTTTCTGGTGGGTTTAAAAACAAATCTTCCCATCTGCCAGCTGTTTTAGATCTCTGTTCTGAACATGTGCTCTCAGGAAGAAGAGGGATTCAGAAAATAATTTGAGTTGAACCCTAGTGGTGCCACGCTGTCTCAGAAACATGGAGGAAAACTAGAGAAGGTTTAAGCAGCACTTCACTCTGTGTGAATGATAGGTGTTAGTATGAAGGAGGACAGGACGTTAACTTATTTGTGATAAAAGTTGGTTCTGAAACAATTTTAATAGGTTTCAAGTTAAAACTCAGGCACTAAAGGGAGAAGACTTCCCCTTTTCAGACTGCTTGGTTCACAGTGGTTTCTGACTGACACTTTCCAGCCCCTAA